GTCTACTGTAAATAGATAGAAAGCTACTAAAAATAGATCGAAAGCTACCCATACAGTGAACCATATTTGGACAGATATCGTCTTTTCGAGCTGCTTAAGGAGAATATAAACGCATTTGAATGCTACAACAGTCAAACTACACATAGACTCTCCAGGAATCTCGGATGAGCGACTTTGGGTTTTGAGAGGAATAGCAAGCGTCGGTGTAGCTGCAGTTGATGCTATCAGTAGAATTAGACGGACAAGTCACACAAGGGTTGTAGCCTGGATCATTTGTAAGGGAGCGCCCTATAGATGGATGTCATAGAGACAGATAAGCTAGCAAGCACAAAAACTAGGCACGCGCAGGTGTATGGAGCAAGTGTGATTAGACGTAGGTCCTGTCAGCTCGAGAATAAACATCTGTCAAGACGTGGCTGGTTGTTTCAAAGCGAGGCAGCGAAAGTGCGTATGTTCGTTTGCTTTAATGTGTCTTCGTTGAAACTATTGCCATAATGTGTGGGGTCCATTGGGCAAGTCTCGCTCCTTATATACAATATTTGGAGCGTTCGGACCAGGCCCTGGTCTTCCACCATAACATTATATTCTATATTTCTATCTCTCACCATATCTCGTTGTTTCTATCCTTCTGCCTGCACTATATGGTGAGCTGTCTTATAATAGTAAACCCGCACGCCGTTTCATTCATCCCATTCTCCTTCACATTCTCATTCTCATTCTTGATCTCATTCTCATTCACGTTTCATGTGATCTCTGACCCATCTCTTAAGTGACACGCATCGCAGCATCTTTCGAGTGGCCGCTTCACAGAACAGTCTCGTGTGAGCCGACAAAGTCCACATAAGCGGTCCTACTGGATACCATCAACGCACGACGATTGCGCACACCCGACCCGGTAGGCACCGGCGCTGATGCTGGAGGATGTGCAGCACTCAATAGTAGTCCATTTTTGGGCCGTATCTCATCACCACAGATGACTGCCTTGTCAAGAGTGCTTGATAGTAGGCCACTTGTGGGGCGCATCTCGGCCTGTCGGTGGATGTTCCTATCTTGGGCGCTCGATAATGGTACACTTCCTGGCCGTGTAACTGAGCTCCTCATAGCTTTCGGGGGTCTGCTCTCATCCACCGGTCGTGTGGGAACGGTAGGGCGCGTGAGTTTGACTGCATCGCCTACAACTAACCGAACGTCCATGTCTTTTGGCGCAATGAAGAAGCGGTTGCTGCGACGCTGTACGGGACTGCAAACAATTAAAGTACACGGTTAAACGGTAGGTAAACGGTATGTGAACAGCAGGTGAGTGACGAACAAAGAGGTAGAAAGGCGATACAGGTATACTTCACACAAGCATACTTCTATAGATCTATGCACATACTACTAGTCTCAAGTAGGCGTTGGTGTCAACCTGATTGTACACGTACCTGGCGGGGCTTTCAGTGTCCAAGACCTCCATGCCGTCGTTGCCAGTTATGGAACTTGTTTTGGTCAGCACTATCAACCGCTGCGGAAACGGAGACGCATCCGGCAGAGAGTTCGCGCTGCTCACGGAGCTGTAGGTACGCCAAATCAAAAACAGCAAAATTGGGTCAGACCGGTGATAATGTGGACCCAATTGCCTTCTATTGTTTTATCATTTTGGGGACAAATTAGGTCAATTTAGCGCTTTGTATTTTGAAACATTTTGGAAATTCTTTCTTGTCATTCGACTTCTTGTCACACAATGTGTCCATAGGAACACGCAGATATATACTATGTTAGATATGTAGATAATATATACATCGGTGTAAATATCAAGATATATACATAAGTACATATATACAAATATATACATATATACATATATACACATATACAAATATTTAGATATATACACATATACACATATATACATATATACACATATATACACACTCACATGCATATAT